GGGGGGGGGGGGGTGAGGGTCGAAAGAACTGCCCTTTTTGCAGGGAAAAGGTCGGCTCTGGGAAAAAATTGATCTATGAACACGAAGGTTTTATGGTAAAAGGTCCACCTTTTCAAAAAAAAAAAAAAAAAGGCCCACACCCCCTTTGTACTAGTAATTGCTGGTTCCTACCCTGCAGCCGTACTGGGTAGTGGTGCACACATTCACTTACAGTGGTTGAACATGGCTTTGTTGAATCAAACATTTAAGTCTGCTGATGATAACTTTCTCATATTCCCAATGAAACTGAGGCAGGTGAATTTTTCCCGGCACTAAAGCACGCGTGGTCCCACTAACAAATTAAATTTGTTTGCAACGTCAATGGAATTTAATTGTCTATGATCATAGATAAGATAAAGAATAATTTACTCAATAAATATATAAAATATACATTATTGGAAATCGATTATCCTGTAAAGCGCTGTTGTGTTACAAAGATGTGTAGATAAAGTGTACTGTACTATCAGATCTTACACTCCAAAATGCAATTCAAGCCATTTTTACCGAAAGATGGGGAGTTGAACAATAGACAAATTTTTTCGGCGCAGAAGAGGTGTCCATTTGTCATGTAGAGAAGACATCGACTTCTAGCTTTAACAATTAGATTACAGTCAAACAAGGGTCATATAGAGAAAACAGTTTCCTCCCTTGCTGAAAGATTAATTACAAATATTCAGCCTTCGTGGTATATTCAGGTTTAAAACAATATCACAAATACAACCACCCAAGTGCAGAGCTGTATTACTCTTGTATATTGAAACCACTTTCATTGCTGTGCAAAGTACCTGAACATGTTGGGGACGCTTTCCAAACACTGGAATGAATTTTCGTCTTATTGCTTCCTAGTGTTAATTGGTTATCTGTTTCTTCTATTAATATATCCCTGATACATGGTAAAGTAACTTAAAGGTATCCCATCCGGGATTTTTCGCCAAATCGAATTTTTCTTTAAAATAAGCAAAATTTCACCCACTCACGAATCATTGTTTGACTAGCTGCCCGGCACTTGGATTCTGTGTTTTATACCATTTTTAATCCAATAAAATAATTCTAAATTGTTCCTCTAATGTTTAGACCGCCGTGTCTTCCTGTTCATTTCAGAAGGATATATCAATATCAGGTACCTTTATTTGAGGGTTCTTATCGTTTTTGTGGTCTTAATTAACTGGAAAAGATAAGTAGCTTTGCAGGATATGTAGACGTATTCGTAGAACATATGACTTAAGTGCAGTTTCAGACGCGAATAGTATACAATTAAACACTGCAGTTTCATTTATCACGTACCACAGACAATCAATATATTTCAAGCAAAGCATTTATAAAGCTACGATACAGTTAAACGGACATCGACGTCTGTGTTTTTCGGATAAAGCCGCGTTTTATTTGAGTTGTTTTTCCTTTCGGCATGGCATCTTTTTCTAAAATGTTTAAAAGCTTTCGACCATTGTTTTTTCATACATTCTACATGCATTTAAATTATAATGGTCACTTATAGTTTGGTCCACTTGAGCTTTTTAGTCAATCGACGAATTTTCGAAGGTTAGACCGACCACGGATGTGGTGGGATTATCAATTCATAATCTTTGCATTCCTTTAGTAGTTACCGTAGGCATGAATGTCTGATAAACTGAGATTCGACCTTGACTTGATTTTGACCTATGTTTCACAATAGTTTCACATTAGTTTTGAAAACTAGGGGCCCAGTAAAAAAGAATAATGATGATGCTAAATGTCCAGGTAAATGCTTTTAAATCACATGTGATTGTAAAATGCTTTCTGGGGGTTTCTTTTCTGGACACATCCAGTACCCCAAACCACATTTCCCCTGAGTTATTTTTTTTTTTTTCATTTTTATTTATCAACTTTACAAACTTTTTTTGAAATAAAACATGTTCATTGCCCTTACTGTTTTTATATGACAGTTCATCAGCTACCGAAACAAGTATGCACATCGGAAGACTTAAGGCGCGCATCAATTAATGGTCAGATATGGAACAACAAAGTTTTTACTTATAACTGTTTCCGTATTTGCCGAAGTAAAACGGTAGTTTATTGGTAACAGTCAAAGAGCTTTACTGTTTAATTGTCAAATTTATCTATATTCCGGTCATAACACCTACTGTTCGTCATCGAAAGTGTTCTAGGCCTTTTAATTACCAATTAAATTGAGGAAGAAAACCAAAGAAAGTATCAATCGGAAACATTACGGTTGACGCTTCTATACTAGATTGACCGTCAATTAAATGCAATCTAAAGGTATGCAAATAAAATGCGTCATGACTGTAAATATTATCATAGACCTTTAAGGGGTCTTTATGTTTGAATACCTCTGCTTGGCCTTTTAAGATTTAATGGGTTGTGGTTTACTCCCAAGCACGCAAGGCTAAAGCATATGCAATAAACGATTACAATCCTTGAGGTTGAAAACACCTGTGTGAATTTATGTTATCGTAAAAGCGTTGACTGGGGTTGATTATTAGTAACATTAAACCGTGTCAAGCATCTTCAAATAATTATAGAATAATGACAAATAGTTGGTCAAAGCATGTCATATTTATGAGAGTGAACCTTGTGAGACACTTACACTTTGTTTATTTATTTCCTTGATCTGGCCTCAAAAATTAACAACAGGAAAACGTCGGAGTTTGATATGTGGGGTTTTTTCTCTCAGCATAATTGGTTAAATCCTGAAGATGGGAAGTAGAAAGCGTTCCTTTAGAAGGAGACTGGACACGATGTTAAGGATTTTTCCAGACATTTAAGGGTTAATTTTAAGTTTCACAAAGAAATTCAACATTTTTAATTTTTTCCAGGCATTGCAAGATAAGTTTTAAGTTCCGTTAATAGATTAAATTCTAGGATGAAGAGACAGTATATAAGGGGCAGCAGCTCTTATATTGAGGTAATCTAATTTTTCCTTAAATTTGTTGCACATTGTTAGAGTCCTGGTAAAAGATGATCACGAAAGGTAACTTTAAAAAACATAGTTTTGTAGACATTTAGTTATCATTAGAGACAGCGAATTATAGATACCCTTTAACAGAAGAAATGGCTTCAAACTTAAAAGGACTATTAGCTTTATTAATGAAGATATATTAATGGATTTGTGATTTTATAATATCTTTTTACCAGATTAGTTTTCAGATTACAACATTAGAGGTCATATAGACTGCCTTAACAAAAAGGCTTTAAACCAAATAACCGTAACATGGTTTTCTATAAATGGTAAAACAATACCTTTTTAATCTCAGAATCACATTTATTTCAATAAAAACTTTCGCAATCCAGGTTTGATGGTAGTTGTGATTCTATATATAAGCGTTGTGACATCAGACTCTGACTTCAACCCGTGTGACGCTGTGAAGATGATTGAGGGCGCCTCTACCCCCTGTGTAGCTGCGGAAATATCTGACCAGTATTTCAATCCATGCGCTGGCTCGCAGCCCGCTGGAAAGAGCAAGCGTCATATTGGTACCAGACTGGTGAATCACAGGTTTTTGAAAAGGCCAGAACACAAAATTGGATTGCTATTGAATCAATTTGTAAGTTACTTTCTAATTAAAAATTCGTTTGTGGAAGAGATAAACAGAAAGCGGTGAATTATAAAGACTTTTTTGCTAGAACTGAAAATAATACAGGTTAGGTGTATCAATTTGGTTTTAGATTGATTAGTAAAAAGCTGATAATTTTCTTTTTGCAAGAACAGCAGAAGGTTATATAATGACAAAATTACACAATTTAAAAAACTTTTTGTTCTAGATCGGGCAGTTCGGCAACATAAGTATAGAACAGTCTAACTTTGATCCTTTCCCAGACGGAATCGTTTCGTGCTTGGAAAGGCATAGCAGCCACTGGTCAAAGGTACATCTCAGATTAATATTTTCATTGGAATTCTTTTTCTTAACCCTGATCATTGTCATATGTCATATTTTTCGAAACATCTTTAATTGGAAGAATATCAAAATGATTTTTGCCTTATGTAATATGTTGGTCTTAAAAATATTTTTTATTCGCTTAGTCCTATCATATTCTCTACTTCTATGGTCCTATGTACTTATTCAGAGTTCAATTCATCTGCATGCATTTTCTCATTTTACTACTTTCTCAAGGTTAAGTGATCCGTAAGCATACCTACGTTTAATATACGAAATAGATGTGAGCGAATAAGTTAAATATTTTAATATATTCCAGGCATCTAAATGGGATAAGGCTTTCGATTGTCTTCACATGTTGTGGGTTCACTTGAGGGTGGTGCAGGCAAAAGAGAGAGAACTCCCTAAAATACATGTAGAGGATCTAGAAAATCTGAAAGAGTCAACAACCGATGTCATACAAGAAACAAGAGAACTGCTGTGTCGAATTAAAGTTAGCCGAGGAAAACCAAAACATTTTTGTGTTCCTGAAATTGAGATTCCCTGTACTCATAAATTGACTAGAGCCAATGTTTTAGACGCCGGTTATGCAGTTACTTATCGTTTGAATGAAACTCTGCACAGCTTGATCTATTAAAGAATGGACTGTGGTCGTGGGGGATTTTCTCAAAACA